TGGTGCCAGGCGAGACTGGGAGATCTGGCCTGGTATGACAGCCAGGAGGAACGGGTAGGTACAGGGAGTGGTGCCAGGCGACACTGGGAGACCTGGCCTGGTATGACAGCCAGGAGGAACGGTTAGGTATTCAGTCAGATGTTTTGAACATCAATGAAGGTGTATTTTTTTGGAAATTTAGTATCAGGTTAAATGTAATGAATATTGAATAACAGAAGATTTTTGATGCTGAGTGAAATAAGCAACCTCTTAATAGTGACTGTAATAACCAAGAGACATTACATTTTAAGGTTTTACTCAAAGCTCCACTGCTACCTGATTAACTGCAGCCTTCTTATTGATTCTAAAAATGTCAAACCACTTTTATGTATGAGGATGCAGTATTTAGTATTCATTCCAACAGAAGCACTACATTATATATTGCTAGTTCTTTTCACTGTTAAAAGAAATTTAATATAACTAGTTGGCTGAAGAAAGCTCATAAAAATGCATTGATTTCAGCGTTTCCTGGTGTCTACGGCTGAGCGTATCACCCAGGTTGACCCCTATAGTCGCACGTGGTGGGTGGGACTGACCAGTGACGTCACTGGACTGGCTGACGTCACCGCTGGGGGTGGGTGGAAATGGGTCTCAGGGAAGAAGGCCGAGTCTGATCTTATGTAAGTTTTAACTTAAAAGTAGCAAATACTTGAATGAGTAAATGCATAAGTGATATAAAAATTCAGAATTGGGTAAATGTTATTGAAATGCATTTTCCCACATGGTAATATGTTTTCATAATTAACGAATTTGCTTTAATTTAAAGAGCACCTTGCTTGAAACGCATTTTTTCATTGGTTAAACAATGTACATATTAAACAGTTTGGCAGGTGGATGAATTTTGCATCAACTTTCTAATCGAACCAAGGTCACGTTTATATATGTTTTTCAGTGACTGGGGGAATCTTGAGCCGGCTGATAGCGGTGTTCAAAACTGCGCGAATTTATGGACCAAAAGGGCGTCGCCAAATATTGGAAAGATAAGTGCAAGCAGCTGCTCTGTCTCTCACCCCTACATATGTAAAAGACCAAAAGGTAAACATTATTCTATGTCAATATATGCCTTTTCAAAATGTCCTTATAAAGGAAAGCGTAGTTTTCATTGTATATCAGAATTTGTTCTATTCCAAAAACGGCTCCTAAGCAGGATTGGCCTGCACAAAGGTCTTGTAATTACAGGTTTTGTTAGCTTCTTTACGGTAGTGATACAAGCTCACGTTTCTTCAACGGGTACACTGTATGTTTGTCACCTGGCGGTAGTGATAAATTCAGATGTTTCGTCACTTGTCACTCTATTTCATTTCAAGTGTAATTTCTTATCAGATGTGTTTAAATTCCTTCGTCTTTCTTCCAGCTGTAGTCGATAACTGCCCAGCAAACTGGCAACAAGTGGAAGATTCTTGTTTCAAATTCTTTGATTCTGAAAAAGACTGGCAATCTGCAAGGTACGTTGAGCGCATTTTCACCAGTACGTGCATGCGCGGAAAATAATAATGAATTAAAAAGGGTAAAATTGTAATGTGATAGTTGTTTTTTAATATTGATATTGTATTTCATGATTTGTGTTGCGGTATGACATGATACATAGTATATCATAGTAGGGTGCAGTACCGAAACAGCACAGTATAGGGCCTAGTACTATATTGCCAGTCTAATAGACTTGATACAAAGCACCACTGACTAAGTTCTCACGTGTTTAATGCTGAGTATAACAAGATATACAGGGGGAGTTCTGATGTTTTTGATATATATATATATATATATAAATATATATATATATAGATTGATACATTTCAGTGGTTACTGTGGTTACTATGGAGCAGACCTGGCAACGGTCGATAGCAAGGCTCAGCAGCAGTATATGTACGACGTGTCGAAATATCACGACAAGTCTATCTGGCTGGGGTATTCGTCGTCTTATGACGGGGTTAGTGCCTCTCCTTCTCTCTGCAGACCCTTCTTTTTACAACATAATCCTTTTTATCTTTTCTCGATCGATTTTAGACTGCTACAAAATCTGTGGCTTTTAATTTTTTCAAGACTTATATTTAAGGTTATTTATTGACGCAAAAAATTAAATGACGATAAAAAACTAAAAAGATACTTCCTTGATATTATCAGAATGGTACTGTCTGGAAGAAGAACAACATGACGGTATTATCTCCCAGTAAAGACCAGATGTCAAGGACAGAGTTTTGGGCTGGCCGAGAGCGTCCAGATCCTCCCACGTAAGAATCCAACAACTTAGGTTCTGATGTTGGGAATTTAGATTTTTAACGCCTGTCTCCAGGCTTTCTTTTTAATATCGGGCCATGCTCTCTATGCTTTGATATAAATGACCAAGGCAATATTATTGAGTTGACCTCACTTGAAAAATACTAGGAGACGAAGAAAAATGGTGAACTATTTCTAATATTTTAATGTGTTACAGGGAGTCGGGGACCAACCTTTGTGTGGAGACGGTCCCTACTGCGGAGGAGTCAAGAAGATCTTGGGTCGCCAACGAATGTACAAAACTACGACCGTTTATGTGCAGTAAAAGGGAGGGTGAGTTAATTAAAACAATTGAAATACACTGCAATGTCATAAAAACCTCAACACAGATGGTACCAGTTTCTCAGAATCTTTAACACTGGTATGCCTAATAGTATGTGATAAATACACTGAATACAGAACACTGATGTTGATCAGCGCATTATCTGCATGTGGCACTAATATCTAAAGGTTGCTTAATATCAGTGCTCTAATTTCGATAATTATCTTCGACAGGCACTTGTGCCACTGGGTGGCGCTCTCATAACGGCACGTGTTATCAGTTCAACGTTAACCTGAAGCTCTCCTGGTATGACGCCAAGGACTACTGCCAGAGCCAGGGAGGAGACATGGTCACGGTGGAACGGTAACAAGAACCTAATTCATTGAAGTTATATGAAATCGGTGCTTATAATTCTATAGTACTACTGTGATAGTGGGATAGACAGTATATTGTTTCTTTGCCTATTCATAGCCAGAATAATTCCTGATTGTAATGAATATACATGTACCGTCTTTGCTTTTCTCGTATCTTACTTTTGTGTGAAATAGATATATTTATTCTTTGCGAGCCTGGTTCAGATTTCAAAGCTTTTCTTCAGTTTTGGACCCCTTTGTCACCTTGTGACGGATCACTTACCAATTTAGTCAAATCATTAGTTTTTTTATAGTTGTATATATATTAAATGACAGTTTCTTTCATCACATTTTGCAGAAGATCTACTCAGGATTTCATAATGTCAGAGACGAACATGATTGGTATTTCTGATGGTTTAAACATATGGTTAGGGGGCTCAGGTAAGCCTTTCAAGATAACATGTGTCTTTTTTTTTGTATGAAATGATGTGACGTCACAGAATGATTGTCAGCTGAAAATGCCTCTGAGAATTGGCACTTACTTCGTTCTTTTGTATAAGTTTATTAAGAAATATATAAAAACAACATCAAGCGCATTCACTGTCTCTCAGTTTTCCAAACTCTACTTGTATATACCAAACTCTACTTGTATATACCTTTATATATATATATATATCACATACACAAGTAGATGATGGTTGACAATTCTATTCATTAACTCAGCGTTTGCCTTTTGATATAATTCCTTTAAACAAGACACCATGGGTGTGACATATCACAGTTAAACAATTTCAAAACGCTTGTGCTGTTCTTCTTCAGATATTGGTTTCAACCCCAAGGTGCTGCGTTGGGGTAACGAAGCCGCCATAGGTGCCACAGGTACATACTCCAACTGGGTTCCCGGCCACCCCGTCACCAGCAGTAAACCTCTATGTGTACAGATGCTGGCAGGTAAATGTGTATATATCTAGTTATAATGTTTTATAGATATATGATATAAGCATGGCTCCAATTACGACCACAAAAAAAACATGCTGTGAAAAAAAATATTTAAAAAGAAAGAAACGTGAATAACTCTATCATTATCTAATGTAGTGATCTTTTTCTAAATGTTTTAGTTTTAACATCCGTTTTGCCCGATTAAAGCACTTTGTTAGGATGGTTAAAAGTTACATGCTGTAGTAGCCATTGGTATAAATAGGTATTTGTCATTCACATTGAGAAACAAAGCAGTAACGTCACCCAACTATCACTCACATGTTGGTCGTCTCTGGAACCACACAATGAGGTGGTGATATAGCTCCAGATACACGAGGTGTGACCAAGAGATAGCCATTGCCCAGTTTTAATTTCAGCTGATGGCAAGTGGGTGGCCAGTAATACCTGCCTCCAGGAGCTGCCGTTTATCTGCCAGATATCTGACAAGAACGTCGTTTATCCACCGACTGTCCTTCCAGGTGTGTATGATTGGTTCATCTTAAACACATGAGTTTTGTAGTTTTTTTGCATAATCTTTTTTAATAGACTGTCTCTGTCATAAAGATATTTCATTACTTTCTTATCATTATTTTGCGCAGAAAGTCGACTGATAAAGAATGAAAACATTCAGAATTTATCATTTAAGTACTGATGTCACTGTCGCACTTTTCTCGTATTAGCGAAAGGTAGCTGTGACCCAGGCTGGGTAGCATATGGCTTCTCCTGCTATTACTTTGACAACAGCGCCTCTGTCACATGGCTGCAGGCCAACCAGAAATGTCAGGATATGGGAGCACACCTGGTGGAAATGAAAAACGCTAGAGAAATGTCCTTCATCGACAGTATGGTTTTAGTCTATTTAAGTTTAACTGATGATGGATATAATGACGCTGTTTTGGTGATCAGATATTAGTCTTAAGCGAAGAGCAAATTTATATCCATTAAGATATTTAACAGCAGCAAGACATCAGAGCCTGTAATTTAGAGTTTAAAAAAATCGCATTTTAGTTGTGATTTTAATTTTTTATTTAAAAAGAGTGGTATGACTGCTTTGCAGAGAAAATGGTAGCCGCGTCGTGGCTTGGATTTACCGACAGACGACGTGAAGGCCATTGGGTTTGGGAATACCAGAAACAGGTTCGCTAGATCATGTGATATCGAGCCGTGTACTGCACCTGAGATTTGATTTGAAATAAATGGTCTTTACTTAGACAAATAGTTCAAATTACAGTTAAAGTCCATGCTCACATACAGTTAAAACCCAGTTATTCAGATTATCCTACTTTCATTCAGACCCCGTATACGAACTGGGCCCCCAAAAGGCCAGATGACTTCCATGACGGCCTCAGCGAACACTGCGCTATCATCCTGGCAGGAGATCCACAGGGTCTCTGGGACGACGTACCCTGTGACCAACTGAATGCTTACATTTGTGAAAAGCTCATAGGTACGTATGCATGTATAAACAAGCATAATTAATTTCATTGTGTGCGCATTTAAAAGCTCTATGCATAAATTGGAATTTACTTTAGATTTCGTGGATTGGATCCATGCTAGCTGCCGTGTCTTCGAAGACCATAACGTATTCATGGCATCACATTTGACATGTTTCTTGTTGTTCTATTACAACAAGACATTTATAATTTAAATTCGATTTACAGAATCATTGAAAAAGATTATCGTAGAGCTTTGATGTAAGTGATTTATCCCAATATAAGCCATGACAAAAACTCCTTTACAATACAAATGCGAATTCTTTTCTACTGTTGTTAATTCTAGGACCTTCCACTACTCCAGGGCCAACCAGTTCGGAAAGTAAGTGAATTGTTCGCAGATTATTTTTAGGTTTATTCACTGCAGTATGGTTTTGTGCAATGTACCGTACCAGTTCCATCAAATTCTGATGGAATCCCAATAAATTATATGTCCATATCCAATTATGAATAGATACTTTGAGAACCATTTGAAATATGAGCACTTAGTATTTCGCTGCCCAATATACATATCTACATGTATATACGTTTACCATAGTTTTTTGTAAAAAGTTTGCCACTGTCATTACAGCTGCTGTATCGGTAAAATGTGGACTGTTCTGGGAAGACAACCCTGTAAGTGATCACTGTTATCAGTTCAACACAGACACGTTGTCGTGGACAGAGGCCCAGCTACAGTGTCAACACAATGGCGGAGACTTGGCCAGTGTCACCAGTTTAGAGGAGCAGTTGTATATCTCAGGTGAGGAAGTTAATGCTCTCTGCCAGGGACACGGACTGGTTTTTCACTGTAGAAATTCACAGATGTGCCTCTGTCTAATCGCGAGCACTTTTATCTTTTGTGAGAATTTTCGTTTGGGATTTTAATGTCATCACCCAGCTTACCTATAGTATAAAGTAGGAAGTTAGAAAGGTAGGGGTGTCTGTGTTTTATGGCTGTTTGTATATGTTGCCAATTGTGTTTAAGGACATCTGGACTACGCTTATGTAATATAATGAATTGCATTAACATGTCATTGTTGTCAATATGCTGAATTTGAAAAAGAATTCCAACATTAATTGCATGTCAAGCGGACATCGTAACAGTTTTTGACGACTAATATATATCTAATGAGTATGTCTTTGCTCTATTTGAACAGCGCGCATTCAAACCATCCCAAACATGAGGTTTTTCTGGCTTGGCGGTAGTATCACTTCACTCAATACCGGGTGGGCCTGGAATGATGGAGCGCCATTTTCTTTCCTTAACTGGGGCACAGGTGAAGGGAAAGCCATGAAGTATTGTTAATGACATGTCGTCTTAATCTAATCACAAGTTCAAATCACATCTTTTTATGATTGGCATCTCCATCTACTAGATATAATTTTATCTTACCATTTTTGTGGATAACTAACTGTAACACATTACATAATATTGAAACAATTTTACACCAGTAAATTTATCTTTTGTATAACAGTACTATTAATATATTAAACTAGCATTCGTAAATCTAATTTAACAAAATCTATGTCAATACTTGCACTTCCAGGTTCATCAGGTTCTGGTTTGGGTTCCTCTTGTATGGAAATGGACGCCTCTACCGGGGTTTGGAGAGACGACCAGTGCCAGAGCAGAAGAGGTTATGTCTGCAAAAAGAAGGGTAAAAAATTCAATTGACAAGTGGCATACCTGTTTATCGTTAAGAATGAATAAACAGCTATATTCAAGTGAAATGTCCGTTTGCTCAAAAGCAGTTACATTTTGCTACATAAAAATGACCGGCTTTGGTATTTATTATTACCTTGGTTACTACGCTCTCTAAATGTGACAATTGTTGTGCTAACTTTTACGGCATCGGATTTTCCTTAAAGACCATGTTTGGCAGGGGTTTCTACAATGTGGTAATTCATGCCAGCAATATTTTTCAATACACCACAAGATTAAAACATTCCAACTTGAATAATTTTGTTAAGACATGAATAATCTTGTTTTCAATATACCCTTAACTGTCCACACCTACAGCAAGTTCCCACCGTAGCAACTGAAACAGCTTAGATTCTGTTCTGTTTGGGAACATTCGCATAATACTAATTTCGAAACACCGAAGAGCGTTTTACCATTGGTGTTCCCCCTTTCAGGTAATATCTCAAGCATCACTCCACCTTCAGCGTCGGTGACAACTAGTTCTCCAGGTAATGACGTATATTAAAGTACACTATTTGTTTGATAGGAAAAATGTTAGGGCAAGCAAAACCACAGGATTACTAATGAGTATAAGCATTTACAATATGAAATTTTATCATGATCATATATATGTCTATTTCTGATTGTATTAGGCAAATTTTCAATAAGGCAAACTTGATTTCTGTACGGTTGGATTGATGAAAAGCAATAAGTGATTTAATACTAATGGTGTATTAATCTATACTAACATTTTTACATGTACTTCCATAGGGTATCCCTCCTGCCAGGAAGACTGGGCACTGTACAGGGACCACTGCTACAGAGTGTTTGAAGACAAGAACACGTGGTCACAGGCCAAGGGCTCCTGTCGACGCATGGGTGGAGATCTAGCGTCCATTTTGACTGCCAACGAGAATAGTTTTGTGACTAGTTTGGCAGGCGGAGAAGATGGTAAGCAAAGAAAATATCGATAACAATAATAATATCTCATATATGTACACCGCGTTCGTACATGTAGAACGTCACAGGAACGACACGATCAGCCTCACTCATTTATGATAGGTTTAAGATTACATTACATTTAGGAAGAAAGACATCCCTCTTTTCTGGTATTTACTGATGGGATATATAGGTGACAGCCAATTAAATATCTTCTAGTGGATCCCAGTGAATTATGGACCGGACTGAATGCTGGTAGGGTTACAAACCAGTATGAGTGGTCAGATGGTTCCTCAGTGACCGTTACATACTGGGCGGCCAATGAACCTGACCTCCAACGTAGAGAGCACTGTGTTAGCATATATACCTCAGATGACAAGGTAAGACTATATATATATTTCATGATTATGTTTTTTATCAAAAAGGGTTTTAGTAAAATGAATTTATTGTAACCAAAAACCTAACAAAACAAAATGTACTATTACTACTAATTTTTGTCAATACGTCACTCATGGACTGAAAGTATGTTTAAGTATACAAATAATTACCTAGTTTTATAAGGCTGTGGTTAGAACAAAACGATTACACCTTTTCACTTTTTTATTGAACTTTCAAAGCTTATATTAATTTCGACAAAAATCTGGGAAAACATGGTGCAATGGCTGCGTATTTCGACTCTAGACAGTTCTAGGGTTTATTTACAGGTTGGTAAGTGGAATGGAAATGCTTGTGACCAGTGGCTTCCATATATATGCAAGAAGACAGCGTCTAAGATGGTTTCACCACCTGTCGTGAGGTTTAAAGGCTGTCACCAGGTAAAAAATATTAAAAAAAATTCAAATATACAAATGTAACTGATGATAATAATAGAACGATATTAGATGAGCAAGTTTCCATGTATTGGTGTGAATCCATCAGTAGAAATTTGATCAAAGATGTTTGTTCTCCTAAACAAGTTCAAATAAACAGTTTTTTAATTGGAAATTGTAGACAAATGCATTAAGAAGGTTTCACACGTTTTTGTTATTGTAGGACGTGCATGCTGCATATAAAGGTTCCTGTTATACCTTATCAAATAGTGGTACAACGTGGTCAGATGCCAACAGAATGTGCAACAGTTCCGGCGGTAACCTGATTGCTATAAACGACCAGTAAGTTAGCCTACTGGGGGCTTCGTATATTGTGCCCCTGGGATCTTTTAGTTTCTTGTAATTCGTGTTCGTGTTCTGATGATTAAAATCATATAAGACGAAAGAAAGTACGTATCATAACCGAACCGAAACAAAACATCGACCTAAAACGTATTCAAATAAACGTGCTTGTTTATTGATTCTCCACAAACACTCACCGGCCTTTTTGTTTTAGCCTGGAGTCGGCGTACATATCAGCATATATAGGGTCCACCATCACTGACGCTGAATACTGGATTGGCTTAAGTAACGATGAGAACGGGGTCTACACATGGTCAACAGGTGACAGCGTTTCGGTCACTAACTGGGGCAGTGGACATACAGGTGCGGTCATTTTATACAAAAAGTACTATGCAGTGTGGCTAACCTTGTGTCTACAAATCAAACTGAACCTACGTTCTTTTATTTGTGCGCAGTATAACTGAATACACTTAACCCTCTTTAAAAAGTTTATTATTAACATTTATTAACCCTCTTTAAAAAGTTTATTATTAACATTTATTATTTCCACTGCCAATCTCTTATATATTAGAGAATAAATAAAGCGATTAAATTTGCAGAATTACTCCTTCTAAGCAATGACAATGTTAAGAAACTTTGTACCTACTGTGGAACAATCTGCTCCCGTATATTCATAGGTTCCAATGTTTTTTTTTTATCTAGGTAATGAAAAACACGTGTGTGTGACGATGACACAGACCGGCACATCTACAGGGCAGTGGTATGATAGGCCGTGTTCTCAACATCTGGGGTACGTCTGTGAATACCCCAGGGGAGACTATAAGACCACGCCCACTCCTCCGACTACCATCTCTAACACTTGCTCCACTGAATACCCGTGGACTGAATACGGTGGTTATTGTTACAAGGTGAGCACACTCGTCTATAGCTCTCCGCATGTTAAGAAAGTTCCGGTTTTTGTACGTCTGGCACTGTACAGAGATGTCGAATTTTTTTTATATCTCAGTTTTCGTATGTACATAAGCGGCCTTTCTGTATGGTCTATTCACTGACATAATATCTGCAACATACTTTCTGTTAATAGCGGTCTTTTCAGCGACTTACACGCTCCGTGTTTCAGAAACAATTTTAGAAATCCAAATGAAACATATTTTCTTCCTTCAGAGGGTATATCTCTCCCACAAATATGCTCGCACGTGGTCCGAAGCTGTCCAGTACTGTCGAAATCTCGGTGGTGACCTTGCCAGTTTCCACAGCGAGGCTCAGCTGATGGCTGTAATAGGAAGATTTGAATACAGGTAAAAAAGCGATAACAAACCACTATTTGCCGACAAAAATGGCTTATAAAGATAACCATTTATTATAGTTTCCATATCTCCCGGTTTTCGCCACACCAAATGACGAACTAACAGCTTTTATAGGCAAGATTTCATTTTCGCGCGGTCTCGGCAGTTTCTCAGTACATCTGTATATACAAGTCGTTATAACATATACATAGTGAAGATTATTAAAAAAAAGGTTTAAAGGTGTGAACCAGATTTTATGAGCAAAATATTGTTGTCACAGGGACTGCATGGCTTTTGATTGTAGACTAAAATCATCGCATTTTCATGTGAATGCATGTGTAAGTAATTAAGTCTAGATAGCCTCATTCGGTCTTGTCAGCTTGAATATATATATAATTTGCAGATGCATCACATATACGGCTTTTGGTTTTGAAAGACTGGTTGGTATGTAGCTTGATTTAGGATAGATTGCTTTAGTGTAATTTAAGCCATTCGGAGAAAAAAGTGGTGAAAAACTAATGGTTTGGTTGAGGCAAAAAAAAAAATATATATATATATATAAATATATAATAGGTATGTAATTGGTATGTAGCTTTTTATAAATCTTTTTATTGTAAGGAGTCAATTCTTCTGGATCGGCCTGTCCAAGCCCAGCCCGGACAGCGGCTATGTTTGGACTGACCAGTCTGCCCTGGACTTCACTCCCTGGTCCACTGGACAGCCGGATGACCACAATGGTCAGGAGAAATGTGTCCAACTGGACAAGAAAGACGGGAAGTGGTCTGACGTCAACTGTTACGTCAGAGGAAACGTCATATGCCAGTTTAAGAAAGGTAATGTCTGTAATTTAATAGACACTACTGTGATTGTAATCTTTTTACTTGATATAAATAAATAAATAAATAAATAAATAAATAAATAGGCGAATGAGTGAATTAAAAACAAATCGAATTAGAAAACATTTGGCGTGGTGGTAAGATAATGATCTTTATCTTGCAAATACATTAGCAAATTCGTGCAGCAAATACATTTTAAAGAATCTTAATATTCAGTGATCCCCATGTATTAAGTGATATATTGTAACAGTGAAGTTGTTTCTTTTTTTCTGTTTTAGGAGAACCGATTTATACCGCAGGTACAACAATTGTACCAACACCTGGTAAGTTGACTTACTGTGTTATGTTTGCATGATATAAAATTTGGCCAAAAACTTAATACCGTGAAGTACTTTACAGGTAGGTATAAGGCATCATGGATCTTGTGATCATGCAACCGTATTATTAACTTATAGCAGATATATTCATGTTGTCATGCTTTAATCTCTTGTCCGATATTCGATTCATAGCCACCATGCATATATTAGTCGAACAATAATAACAACGACAACAACAACAACAATAATAATAATAATAATAATAATAATAATAACTAACAGCGCCCCAGTGCGGTTCAGACCCAGAATGGGTGGCCTTCAGAGACTACTGCTACTATATAACCCAGGGGTACGCCCCCGGGTCCTCTATGACGTGGCATGACGCCAGAGAGTACTGTATGAAGCAGGCGGGGGAACTGGCCAGCATTCATGACGTCATGGAGAACAGCTTCATACTTCAACAGGTGAAGATGGTTTAGTTCTTGAAGGGGGTTGAAAATAACTTTTCACATGGTGTCGTCACCTTTTTCTTTATTCGGATGTATTCATATATCATTGTTTCGTTATAGCAATTCAAATGAAAGGAGTTTGAGTTCCGTCGGTCTCTGTGTCGATGAATGTATACTGCCACAGTGCATTAAATGTATTTTAGTTCTGTTCTAGATGGTTTGGATAGGCAACTACGTTGATAAGTGTGTTCATATCCTATCTTTCAGGCGGCAAGAATGATGAATGCGGATACCTTCTGGATTGGGCTGAATGAATTGGATCTGGAAAGCTACAAGTAGGTTATCCATGGTTTTAACATTAAAAAATATATCACAGCAAAGGGTACAGCTATAATTACACCAGTTCTTACACGCATACATTGTTAAGTATAAGAATCCAGATGCTTTCCATGTTTTGAATAAATGTGACACTGTCCCTTTAGCTGACATATATAACATCTTTTTGTAGATGGTCCGATGGAACTGTGACAGATTTCATATCTTGGGCAAAAACGGAGCCAAATGACTACTTTGGAGGGCAGAAATGTGTGGAGTTTAGCGTGAAATCAGGTGATACTCGATAGTTTTATTATCATGCGTGTAAGCACTAAGGTATAATTATGCCAGATTGATTAGGTCAATACAACACATTTGTATTGTTACTTGTTGCAAAACGACTTTAAAGTAAATGGTGTTCATAATGACCCCTATATTCATAAAATCCGTGTAAATTATATCTGTGAATGGAATTAATTTTGTCGTTCACGAAGGCCATTGGCTGGATGAAAGTTGTGGAAAACCTAACCGGTATATCTGTAAGAAGCACAAAGACAGTAGAACCACAGTGACGTTACCACCAACACCTGTCATCACAGGGAACTGCCCTCCTGGGTTCCGAGGATATGGTAAGCATAACGAAATATGTAGACTATTGATTGCAATGACATAATCTGAGGAGCAACATCCTCTTAACTTGTTGAAATGCCTTGACTTATCTGCTTTTTTCGTGTTTCTGCAGTATATTTACAGCAGTCGCCTGTGTCTTAAATTTCATTACAAGGCCATCTGAATTTGAATTTTAATTTAAAAAATACTTTATTTCCTTGGTCAAAGACTACATATGTCGTGTCTGTTTGAAAGGGCATTATAAGTAAATATGGTCACATTTTAGGGAACAAATGTTACCTGGTAATAGGAGACAGTGTGGATTCTACCCAGTTAAAGACATGGGGTGATGCCAGAGATACATGCTCTGCCATGAATAGTTCATTTACTCTGGCCAGTGTTTCTAATCCTTTGGAAGCAGGTATAGTGTTTAAAATACTGTCAAACGGCAAACATAACAGTATACAGTACACATACGAATAAAAAGTGATTTCGTCAATATATTAATTTTTTAAATTTTTTTTCTGTAGAAGTACATTGACAACGATATTGACAGTGACAGTTTTAATCAAAATTAAATAATCATGTATTTGAAATCAAATCATATTGCTAGAACAGTACAGTATTAAGGGCTTTTATTCTGCTTAATCCGTATAAATACGCCACTTGCTGCTCTTATAAGGTGTTCTCCGGCTGACAGGCAATGGCAAAGATACAAGTTGACTAGATTGTCATATTCGTATGGATTTGTAAAGCATATAGTCCCTAGTACTTAAAGACTTTAAATTTGGGGTAAACATTTGAAAAGAAGACTAAACCTCTCCTATAAGATTACATACACGGCGTGCTCTTATTCAGCTTTCCTGACCACATTGTTGAAAGGCAAAATGGTGGATTTTTGGATCGGTCTCCATAAACTACGCTTTCGTAAATTTCAATGGATAGACAACACCAATGTAGACTATGTAAACTGGGGCTTTGGTGAACCAAATGGTGGGCTAGGGACCACAAGTGAAGTAATGTGACCCAATTATTTAATTTTTCAGATTTAAAGCAGTGAAAGAAGTGTTATTATTGACTTTCTCAAAAGCACATGTTCTCATGATTTCCACTTTTCGGTGTATTACGTGTATATTACAAAAAGCGAACACTCCTTGCCCCGGTTTCC